TAGGGGGTATGCATTTATACCGTGAGTCATCTTGATCTCCAAGTAGAACTCGGAGATCTCAAATCCTGCACGATATGGTATAGTCATAACCTTTTCCGAGTAGTACTGTGCCATGTACCTACCCGTGGGGATTATTTCCATAATCCCTGTTGATTTCCTTTCTGCATACGGAGCTTTACATATATACGAAGCTATACCGTATCCATATATGACTCGAGGATAGAGGGTATGCTTTATCCATAACCATGACACTTACGGATATTATTTAAATTGATGATTTATTCACCGAGTATTATTCTGTCATGCTTCGCGTACAGTTTATACTCGATGGGGCACATTTGTTTGATTAATTTTTTTATTAAAATTCATCGAATAAATATTCCAAATAATATGCATCAATTTTGCATTGATATAGAAAATATTTTTGCCACATGGAGCGAGATTGTATGACATGTGGGTCCAAAATGATCAAATATATCCAAAATTGGACTTGTTTTGTTGCATATTACGAATAAAAAATATTGGTGCAAACAGATTTCAAATTTGATGCATAGTTTAAAGTTTTGAGGTGTTCAAATAAGAAGAGAATGACTAGTACAGATAAATCACGTTGATTTGTTGGAAACGATCACGTGTGTTATGCTGATTATCTCTAGCGAGAAGAAAATTATAAAAACAAAATCAAATGTGGTACCCACTGTCATTAGCAAGTGACGTGATTTTTTTCTTTAACAGGTTGGGTGGATTAACTCGTCTAAGCCTGGGCTTATCATGAAGATTAACACGCGATTCTATCGCTTGGCGCTGGAAACTCAGAGGTGGTTTCCATTGCCTCTGCCTATATAAGACGCAGACCCTTCCGGTAGAAGGCCGCACACGAGACTGGAAAAATAGACAGTGACGAGAAAAAATGGGAAAGACTCTCCTGAAGAAACCACAAATAATTCATCTGCATGCGGTGCTTTGAGAAAATTAAGACTCATCGGCGGCTCGCAAACAGTCGTGCCGTGATGTGGAGATTGAATTCCCTGTCATCAAGCTGATGTTGCAGGTGGAGATGATCGTGTTAGATGGCGAGTTCGAGGAATAAATTCCTCCAATCCTGTTGGTAAACCGGTCGTTCTAATGAATGATCGGAATGATCGGACTACATCTTTTCTTCTCAACAATTGGAGCGCTCTGGAAATCAAATCGCTTCTACTTTCTCGAAACATAAACTTGGGTACGTCTAATATGCGTATCGGACCATCCTCGTATTTTTTATATTCAAAACACATGTTTTTACGGTGCACATGCCGGGAGCGAGCCCCAAATTATAAAATAAAGGACTGGAGATTAAAAATACTTCATCGACGTTACGTCCGAGACCGACAAGGTCCGGCAATGCATTGGCTAAAGCTGAAAAGGCTATGAACACCACATATGTAATAGACAAAATCACGACCGAGCGCAGCAAGGCCAAGTAGTTACATTATTAATACGTCCAAACAACAGGAACGGATGCACCATTGCTGGGACCGACGAGGCAAATGCAACTACAAATCCATGTCCGATGAAGGCTGGAATACATGACTGGGCACCGACGAGGCAAAAGTCATCCCCTTCATTGTGACACTTGTTCTATACACTGACATAATAATAATGTACCGTGACCGGACTGGTGAAGCAAAACCGCCCGTTTTATCGTACTCAACATTAAATCTGCACCAACATCAACCTTCGATGAGCAAATTATTTTGAAGACGGCGATCACAAGCGCAGCTTAGTCAGAGGCGTTCCATAGGCTCGTACTATGGATGTAATTAACCGGTAGTCTCATTGCTAGGCACCGGAAATCAGCGGACTGCACACAATCTCTAGTTAGCATACCTTTCTATTAAACATTCATGTTAATGAATCATGATTAATAAAATATAAATTTCCCTATTTTCAGTGTGTTCGTTGTTTTGTTTTCATCAAACAAAATGGCACGCCCAAAAGATACATGCCATTGTGACTTGTTTATCTCCATAATCCTTTGGAAGGAAGAAATAGTTTGCGTTACACAATTGCGGTACATGACAGTTACACAATTGCGGTACATGACAGTGACATTTCAGTGGTGAAATGAGATAAGTCTGTGACACTAATGGTTTGAGTATCTTATGGATTCTTGCCTACAAATACATATGAGAGATGTTTAATGCTATGGAAATATGGTCCGTGACAAATGTTGTTGTCAGGGGGAGTATGTATTGTGTGTTGATTGTCATTTGGGAGACATTGGAGTGTCTTAGAGTATACCGAGGGTATTAGCTTGGTGATGATCACTTATACCTGTTCCTAAGGTCCTATCATATATGTCTTTATTGACTGACACCACAAATACATGTGGGCTACCTCACCGACTCTAGAGGTGAGGTGAGGTGAGTAGCAATTTATGTTGAGTGATAATCTAGAGTATTAATCACCTAGTCTCTCCTGAGGTTTGCCTGGTTCAGGGAGAGAGCATCCTAGAACAGGATCACATGGACTGTTTAGTCCACAGTGTTGTACTCTTTTTCCCTTGAGTAAGTGCATCTGTTGTTCCTTACATAAGATTATTTTAACGAGACAACAACGTGCAAAGCATGAGCGATAACTATTTACTCTTTCTCCTAGCTTTTTTTTCCACTGGGATTTGGTAAGAGTTTTGATGAGGCATAGGTTAGTCGCGGATAGGCACAAGGTGGAGTGTTGTGAAACAAATCTCTAGGAGATAGATTTCTTGTGAGCCAGTCCGAACCGGAGTAGAGAAAAGATTTATCTCCTTTTAAGACCCCTATATATACAACGACATTGTGAGACATCTAAGAGAAACTCTAATAGTACCGGCGACAGTTTACTCCAAAAATACCATGTCAATGAGATCATAATAGTAAACTAGTACATGGTACATGCATGGGTTCTTTAGGCCATTCACAGTGGGTCCAATTGGCATTCAGCCTCGCCACCAAAATGCGAATATTCTCTGCCACTTCATCCATCTGCACAGCCTCCCTTAGACCGTGTAGCCAAAGTTGGCTCCGGGTTCCTCATCAGTTTGCAGCAGGTGGGACCCATACTCGAGCTCCATGCCAAGGAAAGGGAGGAAAGAGACCGGTCAGGGGAGGGGAGTTGCCGGTCGTCGGAGCCGGAGAAGCTCGACGCTGGACCGCGCCGCCCGATTCTTCGTCGCGGCAACCGGAGGAGGCCAGATCTGGCCGCCCCGCTGCCCGCCGCTGCTCGGCGAAGGAGAAGAGAAGACGATGGTGCTGCTCGACCCGCCTCCGGCGCCTCCACCGCTCGACCCGCCTCCGGCAGTGTAGAGCATCGCATCGCTAGAGAGGGTGTGAGAGGGCAGGGGAGGGAAAGGAGCTCCTCGACCGCCGCCGACGGAGGAGACCGGACGGGCTGCGCTGCTCGACACCGCCGCCGTCTTCCGCCGCGCCGCTCGACACCGCTGCAGTCTTCCGCTCGAGGGGCGCCGCTTGATTCACCGCCGCCGGAGGAGGAGGAGGGGAGGCACGGCGCCAGGCCCCACCGCCGTCGCCGCTCGGCCCGGCGCCGTCTCCCGCTCGCCCCCGCGACCTCTGCTTGAACCGCCATTCTGCCCGACCTCCGCAGCCCGACCTCCGCGACCTCCGTCTCCGCCCGGCTCTCTGCGGTGGCCGGTGAGGAAAGGAAGAGAGGGGAGAGAGAGAAGAGAGGGGAAAAGTAAAAAGAGAAAAGTGTAAAAGTGGTATTAGTGGAACCCACTACTAGCTACTTGTATGTGGTCTTGTGGAGTTTGCACTGTGGAACATGTGGCTAATACCATTTTTGGTCTACGTGGCATGTGAAAGAACACCAAAACTTGGTAATGCACTGTGAATAGCCTTAAAATACTAATTTCCTCCTCATATCACCCTCTCACCTTGATGTGGCTGACAGTGGATTGCTCAGCCCGTCTTGGTTTGTGTGTAGCGCTACTGCTTATTTAGGTAGTGTTTGGATAAGGACTAAACTCTAGTCCCTGTCACATAGGATGTTTGGACAATAATTTGAAGTATTAAACATAGACTACTTACAAAACTAATTACATAAATAAATGAGAGCTAATTCGCGACACAATTTTTTTAAGCCTAATTAATCCATAATTAGAGAATTTATATTGTAGCATCACATAGGCAAATTATGAATTAATTAGGCTTAATAGATTCGTCTCGTGAATTAGTCTAGGGTTATGGAATGCATTTTGTCATTAGTCTACGTTTAATATTTCTAATTAGGGTCCAAACATCTGATGTGATAGGGACTAAAATTTTTTAGCCCCATCCAATCACCCCCTTAGTTGCCGGCCAGTCTTATCACTCCTCGTCTCTCACCTCCAGCTCATTGTTAAAACTGACATGGCAGATTTGCAGCTGATTATTGTACCCGCTCTAAGGTTGGCTTGTACTCGAGATCATATCTATAATAAAGAGAAAGCTCAAACCTACATCTTTACCAATTGTCTACTTTTCCAATATTCTTAAGGGCAAAGAAAAGGACACGAATGTTCTACACGTTCTCATGCCTCTACTGCTACGAAGAGGGACATAGAAGAAAACAGACCCGGTGATCCGCTAATAGATACGTTGGTTTACAATAGTATTGTACATATGAGTGGCATTGGCCAAATCCCAAACATTTGTTAAAATGGACCGAAATTTTCAACTAAATTCCTGGCCCATCAATGGAAAATGGTTGGGATTTGGCCCACACCAAACAAGCGTCACTGGACTAACGGTGGCAGGGTCTGTGCTCAACACTCTATTCTTGTCGTTACTCCTCCCTCCACTTTCTCGCGGTCTCGTCCAATGACAGGTGGCCCATGGAGCCAGCCAGAGCCAATCACATCCACCCAAACTATCGCCCTCTGTCTCTCTCCCACTCCACTCCACTCTCCAGAAGTGAAAAAGTCCCTACACTCCCTACCCTGTCTGCCTGTGTAGACCCCCCGTGCCCCTGCCACTCCCATCAACCCCCATTAAACAAACCAGAATCCACGCAAGCAGCAGCCGAAGGGATGCTCGCGACGCCCACCCACGCCCCCCACAACCCCGCATCGTCATCACCACCACCACTCCTCGCCTCCTCCCACTCCCACTTCCGACTCGCCTCCTCCCACCCCCACCTCTTCCGAGGCAGCCCACGATCGCGCCTCCGTCTCATCCGCGATCCCGGCCGAGCCGATCCGCTTGCAGGCGGCGGCGGCGGGAGGGTGGTGGGGGTGTCGGCGGCGGGGAGGACGGCATCATCCGCCGCGGCGCCCGCGGAGATGGAGTGGGTGCGGGTGCTGGAGGAGGGGGTGTTCCGGTTCGACGCGTCGGGGGCCGCGCGGGCGGCGGCCGCGCCCAGCTTCTCGTTCGCGGAGCCGCGGCGGAGGGAGGCGGCGCGGGAGGGCGCGGATACCCCCGCCGTCGTGCCGGCGTGCCACGTGGTCGGGGACGCCCAGAAGGTTCTGATTAAGGTACGGGTTTATTCGCTTGGGGGGCAACGCGCGTGGGGTTTGTGAACTTGTGTGTCGCTACTGTACTGTGTCTGTGTGGCGTGGGAATGAGGCGGCGAGGCGAGGTGATTTTTTTTTTTTTGGATTTTCCGCTCCTGCATCTGCATGAGGAGCTGATCCGCGTGGGGGTGGCGATTTTTCGCTTTATTGTTCTGGAAGAGGGGAACGAGCCAACGGCATTGCTGCGACGATGCAGTCGCATTGTAATTCACGTGCAGCTGGGGACCTGGGGTGACAATCGTATAAAATACAACACGTTTTCTCGTAGCTGTTTTGGGGTAATACATCTTTTGTTTGCAGAATCTTATTGAAATGATATAATACAATGTGATCATCACATTCATAGGATTAAATGCATCCATTTATGGTATGGGATGAATTTGTATGTTTAGCAGTTAAATTTAGTCTTCTGATGTCATTGTCCCGTTCTTTTCTCCAACAAGAGTTGGTTGAAGATTAAGATTTTCATGGCACGCTTTTCAAACTGCTAAACAGTGCGTTTCGTGCAAAAACTTTCTATATGAAAGTTGCTCTAAAATATAATACTAATCTACTTTTCAAGTTTGTAATAATTAATCTTCATCTTCATCTCCATCTTCAGGAGAAAAGAACACCATCCGTACACATCATGAAACCACATATAAACGCAATATATTAAGTCCCTAATCTGCCTGATATAAGTTGAAACTTTGACATTTACTCCTTTTGATGTACATTCATGCTAGATGGTCTTCTCGATGAAGGATAAAATGGTCCAGAATCCAGATGTTTAATTTAATGTTCCATTGCTTTTTTATGCTCACCAAAATGTTGGAAACATTTAATATTAAGCAATCCATAGCACTAAGTTGACACCCCAATGTCTGTCAAAGAGAGCAAAATCCTATAGTGGTTACTAGTAAAACATGACTTCTGTCTACTTTATACTACATTTGCACAGACCTTCTCCTTGAAAACTACACAAAATGTCCATTAGTAAGATACCGGACAAATTTGCATGTTTTGGCTTACTTGGCTGTTCACTTGATCCAACAGCTTCCTGCTGGGACGTCTTTCTATGGCACAGGAGAAGCAAGTGGCCCGCTCGAGAGGACTGGGAAAAGAGTACGTTATCTGCTTGAAGAAATTGTTTGTCATTTCTTGTAAATTCTAGTTCTTAGCTGTTTACAAACATTTGATCTCGTGTTATGTTTTCCACTAGGTTTTTACTTGGAACACAGATGCATGGGGTTTTGGGCCAGGAACCACTTCATTATATCAGTCACACCCTTGGGTTTTGGCTGTCCTCCCTGATGGAAAGGCACTAGGTGTCCTTGCTGACACTACACAGCGTTGTGAAGTATGCTGAGTGTATTTCTTTGTAGATTCTGATGGTGATAAATTAACTTAGATGCGTCTTTTAGCTCAGTAATCTTATGTTATCACAGATTGACTTGCGAGAAGAATCTACTATAAAGTTTTCTGCTCCATCTGCTTATCCTATAGTTACTTTCGGGCCATTCAATACACCATCAGAAGTTATGTCATCCTTGTCCCATGCAATTGGTACTTCTCATAACCAATTTCCTCATGCAGTAATGAACTATATACTTGAAATGCTATAAATCAACAATCTGTTTATATCTCTGCTTTATGTGAGAAATACTTTCTTGTTTCCATAATGTAAAATTGTGAAGTCAAGTCATATATCCTTGCTCTAGTACAAAGCAGATTTTCTGATGTGAATCACGCAATTCCATTTTGACTAAATTGTTAATAATGCTAATGTTGTATAGTTTTTTCTGAAATTTTTTTTACTGTAATTCTTTAGTCAACTGTTCTGGCACTATTAGTTGGCAACGTTCAAGACATCCTGTAGAGTTTGAACTTTTGATCACTTGACCCACTGGAAGATTTCAGTGGCTGATGTAGGGTACAAGGTCTGGATCCTGTATGAGCCTTATGTCCTCGATGTGTCCCCAAGTTAAATGTTAATAGGTTATTTTATTTTTTTCCCACTAAAAGTTCAAATAAAAATATTCCAATGTAGGAACTGTGTCGATGCCACCAAAGTGGTCGCTTGGCTATCAGCAATGCCGCTGGAGCTATGATTCTTCTGAGAAAGTACTCAAGGTATTGTCTTGCAAGAGTAGGTTTGATTTTCTACGTGTACATTTTTCTGATGGAAATGCCAGTGGCAGCAATTCCTACTATTTAATTATGATGAATCAAGTGTATAGTTAGCAGTGTTAATGCTCAGTTCATGACTTTGCAAAGGTTGTTTTTGGTGAGTTGGGCTAGGTTTTGAGCTTCTTGGCCCAACCTTCATGTACGTTAGTTCAGGTGGATTTGGCTAGTTTAGGAAGGATTAGGACAAATAATTGATGGTTAAGGTGTTTTTTACCAAGAGATTAAAATGGGTTATGTGAGCCAGTTTTGCTTAGAAGCAGTACACTTGATTAGAGTGGGTTTGTTTATTGGGCCTCCTCCTGTAGTATTTGTTCCTTCTTTCAATGTGCATCCTCAGTAGGTATCATGATGTTGCATGTTGAGGTGAAGTCGCCATAGCTGAAATTTTTTGGATTACTTCATTTGTCGCTGGAGGAGCTTGATGGAGAAGTCATCTCACTGAGAAAACTTGTGCCACCGTGGAGATTGAAACATGGAGAGGTTCAGTGCTGAAGCTTGGTGGAATGTGCATAATGTTTCAATAAATACATTTGACGACCTGATTGTCATTTGGGACATGCTCATTAGTCCTTACTGTTGACATCCTTCTATTCTCATTAATTATACTACTTTTATCACCTTCACAAGCATGTAGGTAAAATGATTGTTATGTACTGTTATTTTGTCCCTGATATATTTGTTTTATGATTTTATCAAAGCAAGGTGTATTTCTGAAACATTATGATAATGTTTGCAAGTTACCAAAATGGACAAAATTCTATTTATGGACCACAATGTTGCAATTTTTTTTTCTGCTGTATAGCAAACTACTCATGTGATTGATCTATTTGCCACTAGCTTACATAAATATCAGTTCAATCCTCATTGCTTTGTCAGAATGCATTTTGAGGCTTGATAATGTTTTACTGATGATATGTTCATGCTGATACATAGTTATTTTTTGCTTCACAGGTTGTTAGAACATTTCGAGAGAAAGGTATTCCTTGTGATGTGGTCTGGATGGATATTGACTATATGGATGGTTTTAGATGCTTCACATTTGATAGTGTAAGTACCTGCATAAGATTTATCTGTGTCCAAAAGACTATATGTAAATATCTTAAAAATCCCAAATAGTGCCAGGTAGTGTTATGGAAAGTGCATTTTTATAGATTTATTTGCACTGTTATTTAGTAGTTTGGCATCTGTTATGTTACAGAGTCGTTTTCCTGATCCAAAATCTATGGTTGATGATCTCCATTCCATCGGTTGCAAAGCAATCTGGATGCTTGACCCTGGGATTAAGAAAGAGGAGGGCTACTTTGTGTATGAAACTGGTTCAGAAAATGAGGTTTGGATTCAAAAGGCGGATGGTAGCCCATTCATAGGTATATACTGATTTAATAAGTTCATTTGTAATCTTCATGAACTTATCAGTATGAGATACCTCATATATTATATGCAGGGGAGGTATGGCCTGGTGATTGTGTTTTCCCTGATTTTACCTGTAAAAGAACTCGCACCTGGTGGGCTAGTTTGGTAAAGGATTTCATCTCCAATGGTGTTGATGGAATATGGAATGATATGAACGAGCCTGCTGTTTTCAAAGTATATGATCTATCATGAGTCACTTATTTGTATGTCATGCAGTTCCATTTCCCTTAGTTACTGTAACTAATGCTGTCAACTTACAGTCTACTACGAAAACAATGCCTGTAAGCAATATCCATAGAGGAGATGATGACATTGGTGGTGTCCAGAATCACTCGTACTATCACAATGTAATTTTTTGCACTATTTGTCAATAAAAGGATATCACTTATGCTTGATGTGCATTTTGTGCTTTAATACTTATAATATTCAGGTATACGGAATGCTAATGGCAAGATCAACTTATGAAGGAATGGCAAAGGCCAATACTGAGAAACGACCATTTGTTCTTACAAGAGCTGGTTTTATAGGAAGCCAGCGCTATGCTGCAACATGGACCGGTGATAATCTGTCAAATTGGGAGCATTTGCACATGAGTGTACCAATGGTTCTTCAGTTGGTAAGTGATATTAATCCCAGTGTACATAATTGTTTCTTCTCAAAGTTGTACCATTTGCCTAGTCTTTTTCCATATTCACTAATTTCTCCCCTGTTGATCTAAAATAATAGAAACCTTACAATCGTTTTCATGAACACTGCACTTCTTAATTCTTATATGTTTGGTGTCAACTAGTTTAGCTTTTGATACTGGGATGTAATCATACCAAATGCAACTTGTGGTCAAAGCAACATTATGTCAATTTTATCATTATTGAGGACAGTTGCCTTTTGTAGTTACTTACAGAATACTAGCTGCACTTTAATAATAATTATATTTTTCTTGTTTATGTATTACCTGTAAGCAAAATACTGTTGAGGGCCATCTTTTCATGGATTAGTTACATGATACATAGTTTATTTGGTGTAGCCTCTATTAAAGATTGTCATTCCAAATTCTGGTTACTTTTACACAAGTCACTCTTATTACATTTAGAAAGTAAATATAAATATATTTTGTGATCTGAAAATACTCAAGAGTGCACCTCTACTAGTGTTTCACTCTACTGCAGCCTAATAACATGTGTTTATTCAGGGTCTCAGTGGTCAACCATTATCAGGTCCTGATATTGGTGGGTTTGCTGGAAATGCCACTCCAAAACTTTTCGGAAGATGGATGGGTTTGGGTGCTTTATTTCCATTTTCACGTGGTCATACTGAAACTGGAAGCATTGACCATGAGCCATGGTCCTTCGGTGAAGAGGTATTGCTTAATACTCCACCACCACACGTGGGCATATGTGGGCATGCATGCATGAGAATCATATTGCCCTCCAAGAAGCTTTGTCCTCTTTGCTTGTTTCTGCTTTTCTACATTTTACCTTTCCTTACGGTATGAAAAGCTGATAAAAGTTTGGTAGTAAATCAATATCTTTTTGTTTAGTATAGTGTAACAAAAACATTGGTGAGCCTACATGTTCTTGATATCACTGTAGTTTCTTTTCGAATACTTCCTCAATTACACTATGCTAGTGATTTTGCCACACATCATGAATTACAATTTGTTCAATATTTTCTACTCTGTTCACAAATAGATTTCCTAGAATGCACGCAATGGACAAAAGTTTGAAGATTTGACATGTGACAGTTACATTAGTAGGTTCATCATGAAAAAAACTCATATACTACCTCAAAAGTATAACGTCCTAGACTAGAATGCAGGCAGATTGCAGTCAAACCTTGAATTATTAAATCATTAATAGATGAAAAAAATATTAGGATTTAACATTTGAAAATGACAATTGTAGATTTATCATACAACAACTTTCATATAGTTAGATTTTTAATAGTTTTTATAAATATATAAATAAATAATTAGAAAGAGTAATGATAAGATGTGCATTGGAAAGTTGGAAACTGTGTTGATGTCCAAAACATCAAATAGAAGAGAACGGGGGTAGTAGTTATATATTTTGCAATCTTTTCCAATGTATGATTAAAGAAAGTAATAACCAAACCTGTGAATTGGAGATTGTGTCCATGTCCTAAATGACAAGCAAAAAAGAATGGAGTATGAGCTCTCTCTTAAAGGTGTTATTGCTGCGCTACCAGTTTACCTTCCTCTCACATACGATATTGTAGTTTCTAACAGTTGATGAATATTTCAGTGCGAGGAAGTTTGCCGTCTTGCATTACTTAGACGGTATCGTCTACTGCCTCATATCTACACTTTGTTTTACTTTTCACATATGAAGGGTACTCCAGTTGCCGCTCCAGTTTTCTTTGCTGGTAATAATCTTTCTAACTTCTATTGTTGTCTAAGTTGTCTTATATGTTCATGGATTGTAGAAGAATGTAGCATTATAAGTTCATGTATTATTTGCGCTGCTAAAATAAGGTCCTGTTTGTAAATTCTCAATAATGGATTGTAGAAGAATGTAGCATTATAAGTTCATGTATTATTTGCGCTGCTAAAATAAGGTCCTGTTTGTAAATTCTCAATAAATAGCGCGATTCCTACTGGGAACCTACAAATTGTCCAACAAAGTATTGGGTACAAAGTATCATTTTCATTTTCCGTTTTTCTTTGCAGATCCACAAGATCCAGAATTAAGGAAAATCGAGACTTCCTTTCTGTTGGGACCACTTTTAGTCTGTGCAAGGTAATAGTTTGAAAATAATGCCCTCACAATATCCAGTTTTTTCTTTGTTTTTGAAAGCCAAGATATGTGTGCATGTCAGTAGGATTGTGCATGAAGTTTCTATATGTGTTGATTTTGCATGCTGGACCAGGAATATAAAGTTCTGTCCTAACCGCCCTGATCTTTTGGCAGCACTGTACCTGATAAAGGAGCTCATGAATGTTCACATAAGTTGCCAAAGGGCAATTGGTTGCCTTTTGATTTCGGAGATTCACACCCTGTAAGTTCATCAGTTAACTCATGCTATGCTGTCTTAAATTTTATTTTGAGACTAAATTTTACTAATTAATGAATTGTTATATAGGATCTGCCGGTCCTGTTTTTACAAGGTGGAGCAATACTTCCTATAGGCCGTCCTATTAAGCATGTTGGTGAAGCAAGTTTGGAGGATGATTTATCACTAATTATATCGTTGGATGAAAATGGTATGCCTACACATTCTAATTATTTTTTTTAACATTGCCTTTGTATTTTTTTCTTTTGTTTTTCACTAATTATATCATTGGTTACATGCTTAATTAAAACTATCTAAAACCATACCTTCTTCCTTTGTGAAGTTCACATCTAATAACTGTTAGTAATATGTAAAGTAAAATGGTTATTATTTGTTTATAATGGATAAGGCAACAGAATTCACACCATAACAGATTAGGCTGCATTCGACTTAGTGAGAAAGAGAAAATTTTCCTCGTTTTCCACACACGCTTCCCGAACTACTAAACGGTGCGCTTTTTTTGCAAAAAAATTTTATAGGAAAGTTGCTTTAAAAAATCATATTTATCCACTTATCAAGTTTAAAATAATTGATTCTCAATTAGTTATATGCTAATGGCTCATCTCGTTTTGCGTTTCTCCACCTTCTCTTTTTTCCTCCACTCAAACACACCCTTAACCTATATTTCCCATGGCTTTGTGCATTAGTAAGCCTAAAAATGTTGAAACCATGGAATATCATACTCATAGTCATACCTTGTTTTACAGGTAAAGCTGAAGGTGTTCTCTTCGAAGATGCTGAGGATGGATATGGGTTCACACAGGGGAACTATCTGTTGACATATTATGTTGCTGAGCTCCACTCGTCAGTGGTTTCTGTGAAGGTCTTGAAAACTGAAGGATCTTGGAGGAGACCTAAACGGAACTTAAACATAAGTATATTACTTGGTGGAGGTGCTATGGTATGTGTGTTGCTTTGGGTTCTGTTGTCACATCCAGACATAAATTGATCTTAATTGTTAGGTTTATAATTATTATTTTTGTGAACTTAGATAAGTTCGCGTGGTATTGATGGTGAAGAAGTACATCTGACAATGCCTTCTGATTCTGAAGTATCCAGCTTGGTTGCGACAAGTGAACTTGAGCAAAAGAAACGTTTGGGTACCTGTCCTAGAAATACGAGTCTATGACTCAAACCTGGAAATAACTACTGTTGCTGTGGTTTTAATTCTCTGGGTTGCTCTTACATTAGTATTTTGTGATGGTTGTGCAGAGATGATTAAGCCTATACCTGATATGGATGAGCCAGCTGGACAAGAAGGGGCTGAGCTTTCAAAAACACCTGTTGATTTGAAGAGTGGGGACTGGATGCTTAAGGTTGTACCATGGATTGGTGGTCGTATTATCTCGATGACACATCTCCCTTCTGGTATGCTTCATCTATGGTTAAAGTATTCTAAATTACTTTTGTGTTCTCATTGTACTATGGTGCATAAAAGATAAGACACTGCCTTTTATTTTATTGATTTGCAAAAAAGGGTAAAATTACAGTTGTCCTTAGATATCATAAATTTTGACTAACATGATGCAGTATTGATTTGGTGTGCTTATATCCTTGTTAATTCTAAATGATTCAAAATTTACTTCATATAATTTAATTCTGAAAGAACCAAAAGTTATGACTTACTAGCTCAAGTATATTAATTAAAAATTGCTTTCAAAAGGTGACAGTTTCTCTTTTTGTTGGATTATGCAGATTCCCAGTGGCTTCATAGCAGGATTGAAATCAATGGTTATGAAGAATACAGTGGGACTGAATATAGGTCCGCTGGATGCACTGAAGAATACAATGTCATGAGGTAAGTATGGTAGACTGACTTTTGTCATGTTTGGTATGATGATCAATAGTTTTTTGCTTAGCTCCAATGTTGGCCATTATTAACTACCACGAGAAAAGTTGCTGATATAGTTAGCTTGAGCTGGTCCATTGCCTATATATTCTCGTTCAGGAGGTATCTTGAGCAATCAGGGGAGGAGGAATCTGTTTGTTTGGAAGGAGATATTGGTGGTGGCCTAGTTCTCCAGCGTCACATATCCATCTTGAAAGATAACCCGAAGATTTTCCAGATTGACTCAAGCATTCAAGCAAGAAATGTTGGAGCTGGTTCTGGTGGGTTTTCAAGGTAAGTGCTTAGTTTCATTAAGAAATCACTTCTATAATCTTATTCAGTCACCACTGTGCAACCCATGTTTGAAAACATAGCGGCACTTGAATGGTCCTATGCACTATTGATTTGGAGATGTTTAAGATCTAAGGCTTCGTTCGTTCCCGGTTGATCTGGGAGATTGAGAGAGAAAACACCTCGTTATCCGCGCGCACGCTTCCCAAACTACTAAACGGTGTGTTTTTTTGCAAAAAAATTCTATAGGAAAGTTGCTTTAAAAAATCATATTAATCCATTTTTAAAATTTAAAATAATTAATACTCAACTAATCATACGCTAATGGCTCACCTCGTTTTGTGTATCTTTCCAATCTTCCCAATCTCCTCAATCCTCCTCCTCAAACACACCCTAAATGTCTTGTCCATTTCAGATCTTGCGCCTGAGTATGCTTACACCTATTATTACAAAACTAGGAAGGTAGCCCGCGCGAATGCGCGGGCATACGTCATACGCTAAGTTTGAGACATTTATAAGAGCAAAATATTAACCGATAAATATCTACCACGATTTCTCCGTAAATTGTTTTCGTCTACATTAATTTCTTTTATAATTTTCTAACATATTAGTTTTATATTATATCATATTTAAGTAATATCTATAAGCAATTATTTATAATCTTCTTCATCACTTGAAAAAGGTAGACTTATTTTCTTTAGAATACATGTCAACGAAAAGTAAGTGTAAAGTAAAACTAAGGTATTTTTCTTTTTTTGATTGCATATATATTATCATGGTTTATTCGAGGATTAATTGGGTGGGACATGATGCTCCACTAAATATATGGGTTTATATAGCTTAATATGATTGATGTAATTTGAGAGCTGATCCATGTATGAACATTTCATATAGAGTGGGTCAGAAGTTCCACGCAAGCTAACGTGAAAGCGAAATATAATTGCACATACATCATGTATACACATCTGGTTTTTCTTATATAGGATAGATCTAACTATTAGAAATAATGATTCCACCGGTTTAAAAGGTATATAAGTATTCCAGAAATATAGCTTAAAAATTATGGTCGGTTTAATATCCAACATTATTGCGAAGTGAACGTAACTCAACCGGTTAGGTTCGTTGTAATGGAATTTGCCCACTCGGGTTAATGTCCCAGACTTAACAAATTATTTCAGTAGTAGGTGACGTACCCATCGACAGCGAGACGTACGTAGTGACTTCATCAATCTTAATATATATCACCCTAGTCTCTCGGAAGTACTCATAGGGGTATATGCATGTGTGCGTTCATAGATGTGAGTGTATGCGCGTTGTGAGCGCCCGTGTTTGTACTTTGTACTAAAAAATATTAAAGATTATTTATTGTTTCTCTTTTAGTTTAATAGATAAAACAATAGGGAGGGGACGACAGTGTTGTGTAGATGTGAGAGTGAGGAGGAGGTGGAGATCTTATTTTTCTAATTTTTCTAAATGATTTAAGTGAAAGCCGATGATGGGGTTTGTACATGCCCAGGATAATTTTTTTTTCTCAATCCGGTGAATAGTAGTATGGCACATTTGAGATATTTTTTTCACTTTTTTGGGTGAACAGTACATATGTACGTGCTCGTAGCAATTAGGTGGGACCGTGGTAGGGCTAATCCTTCTTTTTTTCAATCGTAATTACATTTTTTCCTTTTTTTAAGTGAGTAGCAAAGTACGGAAGTACGTATATATACGTACAACTATTCACGCGATTTTTTTTTATTCGAACAGGTTAGATGTATTTTAAATAAATCTAATCTAATAATTTAAAAATAGTGGGTCCACCAATAAAAATGATTGCATGTTTTTTTCTCACAATTTGTAAGGTTTTCTCTAATTTATTAGAGCACCACGTGGTGGATAGAACCGTTCGTAGGAGCGCCACATGGCTATTTAGAAGCGTTTAGTTTAATAGATTTTTAGTCTCTAAAGTTACCTATTGTATGTCGACCCGATGTATCATGATGTATTTAAGACCACAACATTACTTTTATACACCGATACTTTATATAATTTAACGAATACAATGGATCATAAATTGGGCATATAATAAAAGATAATGTATAGAGACCGTTGATTTGATATTTGATATTTATATTATAGATATAGTTTACATGCCTATACTTCCATATATTATGTAATATTATATTTTATATTATACATAGTCCTACATTAGATCGTCGTTTTTTTCCAAGGGTACTAACTTTATTATTTTTTATCGTACGTAGATGTTTATTTCTTTTCCTTCCGCCTAACAGCAGGAAGCTTTATTTGTTTTTTTTCAATTATACTTGCGTACGGACACCAGTTGCATATTTTTTAAGGAAAAACTATCACCTTTTTAATAATAGATCTAATCTAATGGTCTAAATTAACGGGTCCACCAATTTAAGTGAAAATCAACGGTGAGATTGGATAGTGCCATGTGGCGGCCTAGGAGTGTTTGTAGGAGCGCTATGTGGCGGCTTAGGAGCGTTTGTAGGAAGCTTAATGGACTTTTAGTATATAATAGAATAGAAGATTCTAGCTACACAGCTGATATTATATTTCAGCTAATTTTCAACTGTTGGCCACAGTATTCTCTTTGAAGTGCAAGAATATCTTGACACGTTGAAGTATGTTTTCCTTCTGAAGGTTGGTATGTTTGCGAGTTCATCCAACTTTCACACTTCTACACCCAACAGAAGTGGTTGTGGCTTTTACGGCTATCAATGGTTCAAAGCAAGAGATCTCCCCAGAATCTGGAGTAGTATTAGAGGGAGACATGAGGCCCGACGGTAAATTGTTTCATGTGATGTTTGATAATTTTCCGTGCTCATGTACATTTCCATTGATATTTGTTAACTCCATTTTCCATCATTTCGCAAACTCGCAGGGGAGTGGATGCTAGTGGACAACTGCGTAGGACTGAGTTTGGTAAATCGTTTTGATCCCAGTCAGGTTAGCAAATGTTTGGTGCACTGGGGAACCGGTGATGTGAACATGGAGCTTTGGTCGGAGGAAAGACCAGTTTCCAAGGAGACTCCGTTGAGAATATGCCACCAGTACGAGGTGAGACAAACAAACTAGACTGAATCCCGCCTGGATCAGCAAATAAATGTGCTACCTCGGAGCGGGTCATCTAAATCAAAATTTGGAGGTGTTCGCCACGTCCTTCGCTCTAAAGAGTGTGGTGCTGCTAAAACTTGTGGGCATTGCTATTGAGGTTGCATTGGTAGGAACTCGCTCTCGTTGCTTGGTTGCATGCTATGCGATAATAATGAACTAGTAACTGCTATAGTTCGAGCTAGTCTTGGCAAAAAGGAATAAAGACGAATGTTGCACTTCCCTGTGATTGTACACTGCCAATTCCTGAAAAGGGCGTCTTGACTGACCGGCGAACAGCCACACCGAGTAATAGAAACAATGTAATAAACGCATCGAGTAATTGAAGGCTGAAGCTCTCTATGTGGTTGTCATATGATATTTTGTCGTGTGAGATACAAAACAATATTGCAAAGCGAGTAGTTGGTGAGAAAGCGGCTACGGCTATACGTCAAAACGGATTCTCCCCTGATGTAAGGCTCTTATTTTCCCTACGGCTTATACACAGCTACTAAAATTTATAAAATTGAAATTTTAGAGTTCAATTTTAAAGATGATTTCAAAATTTTTTTATAATAGTTTATTTTTTAGCATTTGGTTTTTAAATTGCTAAGAATTTTACACATAAATCATTAGGCCAACCAATGTCTGCTCAAGTGGTGTTTTTAGCATTAAAGATGGTGGCTTAAATATTAAATTTTGGTCCATGAAGTTTTCTATTATTGCCCTCATATTGTTTTAATTTAGATAGAAATCCAAAATTTTACAGTAGACGCTAAATAAAAAAAACATGTACGAAATCCTATCCTTGCCCCCATCGTCGCCGGTTTCCCACGACGCATGGGTCTCCCTTCTTCGGTAATGACCTAAGGGGAAAGTTTTGGCGTGTCACATTGGGTATTATATAGGGTGTCGCATGGGGTGTTTGGGTAGTGGGTACTAATAAAAAAAACTAATTACAGAATCCGTAAGCAAACCGCGAGACGAATTTATTAAGTCTAATTAATCCATCATTAACAAATATTTACTGTAGCACCATATTGTCAAATCATGGAGCAATTAGGCTCAAAAGGTTCGTCTCGCAAATTAGTCGCAATGTGTGCAATTAGTTGTTTTTTAGTCTATATTTAATACTTAATGCAGGTATTTAAACGTTCGATGTGACAGGGTGTAAATTTTTTGTGTGGGAACTAAACATGGCCTCAGTATTGGAGGGTCTCGATGGGGTGGTGCACATCGGAGCGCAAATCAATGTCTTGACGAGTGCCTGTCCTCCTATTTGGCCACCGCCGCTGCTTCTCTCCTTTACGACGACGTGGATATCTCAGTGGGCTAGCATGTGCGGATTAGACACCAAGGATGTGAACGAGCTTGATGGCAGCCATGCCACCGCAAGGCTAGGCAGGAGGGACCGGAGCATATCGGTGCGGCATGCCGATGGGTGACGAGCTCTTCAGTTATGCAAATACGAGCCGTTTGGGGCAGTGAGTCCCTAGGTGGTGCAGATCAAGACTCCATGTGTGCTCCCTCGCATCCCCTTTCTCATGGGTGGTGCATGTGGACCTCGTCTTGGTGTGTAGGGGTGGGAGGAGGGAATCAATGGCTTGATGGGGCGGCTCTCTCCAAGTGACGCTGCTACCTTAGTGGGCCAGCAATGCAGATTAGTCGCTGAGGATGTGGACGGGTTCGGTAGAAAGCCACACCGCAAGGCTACGCAGGAGGTTGTAGGATCTAAGATATCGACTACAATGAAAGGGTGGAGGGTGTTTGAATATGCAATTTTAAAATAAACAACATGTAATCAAAACTAACCTTAGTTGCTATGCTAGGCAACCTAGATTAAGTTTTGCAATTCTAAGTACGCCACCTGACATTTTTGCTCATTGCAGTCACCTCCGTGGTTCTTTGCACCTGGGTAGTACCAGGACCCTTGTGCCCCAAACATTCATCATGCTGTGGTTCTCTCCGGTCCATTTCCAGGTTGGGTTAGGGGAAGATCCAAGCGATTGCCTTCGTGGATCCAAACGTGCTAGCACGGAGTTAGCCGAGGCTTCTTCCTCAAGTCATGTCATGATCGCGCACTCGGAGAAAGAGCTTTACAAGCGGCATTGCCCTTCTTCACTCACGTGATATTGCTGGATCGGGCTTTCGCCCATTGTCCAAGATTCCCCACTGCTGCCCCCCGTGGGAGTTCGGGCAGTGTCTAAGTCCTAGTGTGGCTGATCATCCGAAAAGACTAGCTAAGCATCATTGGCTTGGTCAGCCTTTACCCGACCTTGAGGTGAGCCTAACTTCACCGCTCAAACCACCGAGTCACTAAACCCCATCGTCAAGGGATGGGCATAGCGGGAGCCGATCACGAAGTGGTATATACAAGCTTCAATCACAAGGGGTAATTCTTCCTTCACTCGGAAGGTGGTGAACTCCGAACAACTCACAATCAAGACTGGTCCTCCTCCACAATCTTCTCGAAGAGGTCACCAGACAACTCCAAACAATCTGGGAGGCGGCAACCTCCAAGAGTAACATGTAGTAACTCGACTCCATATGATTAAGTGTCGTACTACCTCAAACAATAATGCAATGCACTTGACTTGGAGTATTCAAGTGGTGTGAGAGTGGATGCAAGGGGTCAAATGAAATGAATCTAGTGACAAAAGACTCCCTTGCTACAAGTGAGTGTATGTTATTGGCGGTTGAGGGGGGGAGGGGTAGGTGAATGACCAGTATAGAGCTGTCTGATGGACCGACCCCTTACACAAACAATTTAAAAATTAGTTGTTGGCGTACATTTAATGTACTTCCAGATCGACAAGCATGGGGTCTGAACCGATTGGCTTGGTCCATTAGTGCAACCTACCAGACATTCATGGGCCAACCATCCCAAGGACCCGGTTCGTTCGGCCTTATCCAAAAGGGTTGGCCAACCTGGACTGACCAGTCCAAAAGCCCCAGTTCATCCGGCCTCTACTGAAAAACAGGGATCAGAGCTTACAATTGCAATCTCAAAGTTACAATGCAATGCTCTAGTGTGGCCTATTGATCACCTCATCATTACCAAGTTACCACATCTCTTGATAGTCCAGCAAACTAGGACATAAACCTATTACAAAATTTCGATTGCCCTACACCTCAATTGACAAAGGGATTAGGTTTACTGTTTTTCAACCTTCGCCTTGCACCATCAAATTTTAATCTGTGGCATCCAATCTTAGCATGCGGATCTAAGTGAAATTACATTTCAAATAAAATAGTTAGTCCATAGTTAGTATTTATCATTAATTATCAAAATTAATAGCATGCCGTAGATGCTTAAGAGGGACATGAGTAGATTGGGGCAGCTGTTGATGAGCTCTCCAGTTATGTAGATCTAGGCGGCGAGCTCCAAGACAATGTGGATCGAGACTTCTGGTACATCCCTCGCATCCCCTCTCATATGTTTAGAAAGGGACAACATGTGTTGCTTGTGCGAGGAAACATCCTGTTGGTTGCTTCTAGTTGAGGCAACAGTGTCGTGCAAAAGCCACATGGGGCCTAGTGAAGGCACTCACCACATTCCCTATCTCTTCTATGGCAAGATGTGTGCTACGTGGACTAAGAAGGGTGCTCGTCATGTAGGTGCATTGTGCTACGTGGTATGATTCTTTAGTGGATTCGGTTAAGGAAATATCACAATCAGCCGATGGAAAGCTCATCCAGAAGAGACCGAGTTTGAGAAGGAGTTACGAAGACCACGACATGGTAGTTTAATTCTATCTATTAATTAGGCAGGGTTTAATAATTTTCCTTTTATCTTTAGAAAGTTTTTCTAGTGTCCAATCAGGACTTGAGTTTTTCCTTTTGTCTTTAGAACACGTATGTCATGTCCAATATGTACTAGTATCTGCCCATGGGTATAAATATGTACACATAGGATCCCTGTAATCTATTTGACATATCAATACTACCACTCTCGGCGCATCGCCACCCTCTTTTTCGAGGTTTTTACTCATCACCGGTGGAACTTGGCACCTGACGCGGGGCTGCATCAGCTTCGATCTTCGGTGAACGGGTAAGCCCTATGTTCTGCCTGCCATGGCAATTGTATCGGCTACATTGGCGTTGTTCAAGGCTTCATCACTTCGACCTCTTGGATTGCTCTGATTCAGTCGGTATCTTTACCTACCTGATATCTCGATTTTATCTTTAATTGCAATGTGTTTAGAGACACATCAGTTTAGTTGGGTCTGTCTCGGTTAGGTCTGATCTTCTGACTTAGTCAATATATTTCTATAATCACAATGTTGTTTTAGGTAGATTCGTTATATCCATCACATTAGACAGATTTATCGGCTCATTGAGTATTGAATTATTATATATAATCTCGTGTTACATCAGTTAAGTATGACCTACTAGATTGTCGTTGAAAGTCTTGTTAAGATGATAAATTCATGCTAATGTTTCATCAAAGTGTTAGCCGATATCTTATTTGATGTGTTAAATTTCTCTTTGATGGTTTTACTGTCTTGGTTAAATTTAATACATGATCACCCTGAAAAACAATCAAAGGCTCGATTGTTTAGACCTTATACGTCCTTTCATACTTAGTGCTCATGATCAATTGGGTTTGACCTACTAAGTCGTGCTTGGAATTGTAAGAACTAATTTGCTCTTTGGTTGCCGATAAAGGTAGCACTGGGGTTTCAGTCGATGAGTTATCTATATGTTGCATCGGTTTATAAGGATTATATACAAGTTGATTTTAACCGATTGCAGCAAAGCTGATTCGTTCTTTACTTCATTATATTATCATCGGCTGATTGGATTGTTTATTCAAGTTTTTTCATTGTTTATCTAAGTGTCAGGATATACATTAGACATATAGCCGATTATTGAAAACTCTATCAACATCGGCTTGTTAGTTGCAGGATCAAACTGACTGGCATACCCACATCTCATCAAAGTTTAGGACTTGCACTGGAGCTAAGCAGATCTCCCAGACCTTCGTGTTATTTTTCGCGTCAACAACCACTCACGAGCTGTCCCGTGTAACCAATGGGTACTCTTGACAAGAGTCATGTTCAACCGGACATTTTCACTAATAGTTGAATAACTCCTCTACTCAACTATAAAACTTGAGAGTGTTTAGTTCCCGTGCCTGAAATCATTTTCTCATCTATTAGATAACAATTCAATGGTTAATATTTTTCCTCTATTACTTATTTAAAAAAGTACCTTATTTAATTAATAAAAGTTTGGATGTATAAACTACTCTTAACATAAACATGAAACAAAAAATTACCATTCATAAAAGTTTTCAAAGTTACAAGCAAAAGATATTTAAATTTGGATAAAAATAAAGTAAATCCACATACAACAATAAATTGTACACTATGT